TAACTTTTTTTTTTTTATTATTATTGCTGGGAGCAATAGCCAGCCAGCCTGGATATTTCAAATTGCAATAGCCAATAACAGGCTGGCTATTGCACCCACCCACTTCCTGCTGTCAATCAGCACAGGAAGGGCCTGAAGGAGAAAGTTCTCCATCAGGTCCTCCTGTGCTGATTGACAACAGGCGGCTGCGATGCACGCTTGGATGTGACAAAGCTTCCAATGCTGGCTGCGCACAGCAGCGCTATTGTCCCCTGTAATGTGTTAGGCAAATTAGGTGGCCGAGAGGAACATATATAGTAATACATGGCTCATCAGCCCCAAGCAAAAATGGCAGCTTCTCTAACAAGTTGAAAACTAGTCAAAAAGGGAATTTTTACATAGGCAAGGCAATGTACAGAACAACACAAAGATTCCTCAACACACTTTCCCAGCTAGTCAGCAAAAATGAAGGTTTTTTTACATCCATTTGAAAATACATGTAAAGCCAGGCTGCCACATTAAGCCACTTCTGGGGTCTACAACAGAAAACAGTGAGGCAGCTGAAAACTCCTAGGGCTTAATTTATGAAACTCTGGATAGATGCAGTTTGCACGGCCATAGCATAGATGGCGGTGAAAAATATAGGAATTTACTATACTTGTTTTATAAATGAATACTCGTGTGTGTGTATGCACCTAATCAAGCAAATCGACCACGACAGCCATTCTAGTCCATTAGAGACGTGCCTGTACCCGCACGGCGCATGCACCAGTGGGCGAGACAAGCGGTCGCGGCTCTGGATGTTAAGAGCCGCTGTATAGTGTCATGTTGCCTAGGCAACCAGCGCCGCTTCGTTCTCAGTTTGCTCACGGCCCTGACACTGGTCACCGCTCTGCACTTATTCTGACGACCTTAATCCCAGACGATGTATATCGCTACCGGGTGAGTCACACTTACACATGCTGTTTGGGAGTCATTGATGGCTTGGAAGGTATGTTTGGTATTTACATCTTCTATATTATTCTGCACACGTCCTTTTCCAATACCTAACAAGAGGTTCTGGCGTCATACTGACGCCCTAGGTGGATGAGAGTTGTTTTTCAGCACTTAGTTGATTGGTATGTCTTGGTATATATTGTTGTATGTCTTTCACTTCACTGTTACCTCTGAGCCTGATGAAGGGGACCCTGCGTGGCCCCGAAAGCGCTTGCCAATGAGATACAGCTATTGGCAATAAATTAACATTTTGCTTTTTCAACTTGCGGTGTGCTGGTGACGTTTTTCTATTGTTCATATGCCAAGAGTGGCGCAGCTGGGACGGATCCTGACAATGCTGTCGAAATACACACCCCGCTGGCTGATGACAGCTGGCTCTCTGTGAGGCAGAAGCAGCTATGCCTGCCCCTTCCCCACCTGTTCCTCCAGTCAGCGCTGGGGAAACAGAGAGGGGAGGGTGGGAATCCCTGCAGGAAGTCAGCGATGACTATATGTTTTTCGTTGACTTCCCAATCTATAGAGCCGACCTGTGACAGCTTCTATGTCACAGGTCGGCTTGAATTATGGGGATGAGTGTTTTTCACTGACCCCATAATTCTCCTTTAACCTATGAACACCACATTTAACTTTATTTTCCAAATGCACAGATAGAAATGAATTTGCTAATTCAGATGTTATGTAAACACCACCTTGCAACAACTGACATGTTGCTCTTGGACATTACGCATCTGGCTTGACACATTGCATGGTGATTGAATAAAGGTGATTGAATTACCTGTGTGGCTATGAACATTTGAGTGTGTTTCTGACACTTGGCTGAAGAAGTTACATAAATGAGTAGCAAAACATCATCTGACATTACAGAACAATTTTGTTTAAATGTAACTACTGTTAGATCTACCATGACCTGGATGAATGAATAACTTCACAGACATCAGTGGTGTCACAAGGGGGGTGTGGCCTGCACCCGGGTGACACCAAAATGACTGACAGTCATTTTGGTGTCACCCCCTCCAAAAAGTTGGGCACTCTGTCATGAACCGAGAGCCCGACAGTGTCAGGAGAGAGGAGAGGACCCAGCGCCATACCTCATCCCGCCGGGTGAACGTCCCCTCTCTGCCGGCATTCATCACCAAGATGGCCACACATGCAGAATGACGACACGGCAGGGTGTCACCCGGCCTCGGGACGCCCCTGACAGATATGTCTTTGAAATACTATTTTTAGTTTGACCAGGATTAAGCAACTTTTTGCATACACCTTGGGAAATATACTTTTTTTCTGTGCCTTATGTGTGTCTGGAAATGTCTTGTTACTTTGATAGTATGAGGGTCAGCTTCAAACCTAGAGCTCTCATAGAGGTTGTTTTATGTGGATAAATAATGACAGTACAAGCCATTAGTGTACAGAAGTCATGTTCTTAGAAGAGAACCCACAGAACAGGAAACGCATCACAGGAAACAAGTGCTACAGAGATGAATCATAGAGTTGCATATAAACTAAACATAACACTCATAACAGAGATAGTTCAGACCTCAAAAGGCGCTTTTAAGGGCTTTTTGCCTGCTTTTATTTGTCCACAGAACAAAATAAACAACTAAAGTCCACCCTTGCAGGGGTTGTAAGAAAACAGAACTGCAATATTGTTTTTTTAGCCTTCTAGCTGTTTGCTGATCTGTTCCCAGCATAGACTGTATCACTCGATCACCCATCCTCTTATCACTCCGCCTCTTATCACACCATTTTATTCATCAACTGTACCTTATGTGTCCAGTCATTTATCCTCCATCAACTGCACAACAGCCAGACAATACTACTAATCCTCCCTGCCTTGTGCTTTTAAACTAATCAGTGCTAACTCCTTCTCCACTTCACCCCAGCTGCTCATTTACCACAGCAGCACAGTCGAAGCCTATACAGCCTCTCTGACAGAAGTCCTGTTCAGTGCTGTTAGCACATGTGCAGAGGCTGACTGACCATTCGGGCACTACTCGAGGGCCCACGAACAGTAGGGGGCCCATTGCCTCCCTCCCCCCAATAGTTTTTTACGTTGGCGTCCCTGGGGATCATGCTGCCATTTATACTACACACTATTCTCCATCAGCCCCTGCTACCTACAGCACTGATATGTGTATGATCTCCCCTCCCCGCTGATGACGGTCGGAAGGATAGGAGAAGGCAGAGCTTCATCCCCTACGCCGTACTCTCCCTGGCGCTGCCTTTTGCGTGCCCAGCGATTGAGCGCCCTGATGTCCATGGCTAGCAGAGACAGCGGCCTCCAGGGGATCTCAGAGGGATGCAGGAAACTAGAGGATACACCTTTTATAAGGTATTAATTGCTGTTGTAAAAAAAAGTAAAGATATTTGGGCACCTGCTGAAAAATTGTATAAGGGCTTGTTCACACCATTTGTGGTGTGTTTCAGAATGGCAGCTGCTGGAACGCACATCAATCGCTTACAAAACTCCCCCCTTTGTTCTGGGGCGTGGCGGTGCATTGATGTCAATGGTATCGCAGTGCAATCGGACGGGTGGCAAAACATTGTCTGCGTTTCGGTCCTGTGCAAACATAAAAAAATGCTGCTTGCTCTGTTTTTTGCAGCAGCTACCGCTCTGGAACGCACTGCAATTGGTGTGAACTGGCCCTGAAGTATCCTAAGGGAATGTGCAACATTTTTTGAGAAATCTGCATATACTCTAGTGGTTAGTATTTTTATCATATCTCAATTAAAACTGCAACATCAGTGAGTATGCTATCCATACTAAACTAGCAGAGCTTCAAGGGTTCAAACCCACATAAACCTATACCTGTGGACACTCCCTGTGCACTATATTGTAGTTTTTGTGGTGTGTAGCATGTCCAATGTCCACAACTGGTTAATAGTTTCTAGTATATAGGAGCAAGAGGTTATACTTTACTACCGCACTCTGTTCTTTATTACTAAGCTCTGCGTTCTTTACAATTGTACTGTGCGTTCTTTACCGCTGAACTGTGCGTTCTATACTGCTGATCTGTGCGTTCTTTACTATTATTTACTATTTCTTTTTTATGACACACTTGTTCACTGAAATTGCTGCTCACATTTTGGTGATAAGAGAATTGTTGTATATTTTTGTGATTTAAGTTTATATTCTAGATGCTAACTTATTCAAACCTTTTATTTTGAAATTTTACCATTAATAAGTAAAGATGTGTTGCATTTTCTTCAATGTAAATTTTATTTTTCCAAAATTTCTTAACGTACTAAAACATTTACAGGTCTGTTTGCTAAAAAGTTGAATTGGTTAGAGGATTTTAAAATCTAGACCAATTTGGAAAGTGAGCTAAATGGGAGAATTTCTTCTGGTTTGGCTATTTTTTGACCGAGATCCTTCAGTTCCCCTGTCAATTCTACTAATTCTCCTGCCATTCATCCAGGATACTTGGCAGAATTATGGAATCTAGGTAAAAATAGCCAAACCAGAAAAATTCTGCCATTGAGCTCACTTTCCAAATCGCCTATATTGGTCTAGATTTTGAAATTCTCCTACCAATTCCCCTGCAATTTACCTTTTAGTGAATAGACCTGCTAGTTTAAAAATAGTGTGGAGAAATATTTTTCTCTAACACAATAATGTATATGTGGGTGGGGCTTCTATATGGGTAGAGCACAAGGGAGCCCCATAATCTCATATTGCTCGAGGGCCCCATGTGTTGTCATTCCGCCTCTGCACATGTGCAGCTAGTGCTTCTAAAAATATAAATTTTGGAGTGTTATTGAATATGGTCTGGAAATAGGAAATGGTGAATATATGTATCCTCTGAATGTGTTTCTTTTTGTTTCTTAAATGTAATGATATTGTACTGAATTCTTATTTTTGCCTTATTTTTGTTTAGACTGAACAAAGGGGGGAGGGGTATATGTTTTTATGCAGTTTTCTTTTATTTACACAATATTTTTCAGATAACCTCTTGCTGTATGCACATCCCTTATGTTTTCTTGTTGTTATGGACAACTGCTACAAGCTATATGCTTTCCCTCTTTAGCTTTGGGCTTGGCTGGAGGACCTCCAGAAGGAACTGTTAGATGATGTGTACGCTGAGTCGGTAGAAGCTGTTCAGGATTTAATCAAGCGCTTTGGGCAGCAGCAGCAGACAACACTCCAATTTACCGTCAACATTATTAAGGAAGGGGAAGATCTAATTCAACAGCTAAGGTAAATATAATTTTTGTCTGAAGTATCTGAGCATAGTATGATCAGAGCGAAATATCGTTTTGTGAGCATAGCAACATCCTTATGGCCCAGATAAACATGAACTATAAATTATTATTTACAAAGGGCAAGGAATTCTGGCTGAAATCATTTTTGGTTTTAAGCAAAGCAAGTACTCTGCATAAAATGATGTTAATTTAATTCTGAACCTTTTAAAAAGATCCACATGCCATAAACTGTTTTACGGTCCGGAGTCAATGAAAAATAAATTTTATGCCAAATTTTTTTTTTCTTTTGGGTGCTTGTAAGGTTTTTTTTACCGAATGTCAGAAGCAGATAAAAGGTCACACCCTAGATCTACATATGAATGAAATAGTAAATACAGTTAAGCCAAAACCCTTTTGCTGCCAAGCCCAGTGTTCCTCTTTTAACCTCAGCTGGCTACTAGACAGTAGCTTAGTTAAAGCTTAGTTAAAGATGTCTGAGCTTAGTTAAAGATGTCTGCTCCGAGACAGGAGTTATACCATTCCCGACGCTCCAAGCTAGACACCACCTGACACCTAGAAGTATCTTACAATTTCTGCAAATTAAGCACTTTCTATTGGCTCAATTAAGCTCCTTAAGACTCCTCCCTCCTCTTACCCCCTTCGATAAGCTCCTACTAAATGATGCTAGCGGCTCTGGGACTATTATCAGCCATCTGAAGGGAGAGTAGTATGTAGTTTATCTAGCAATTAGGTACATACACCTCCAAATGGGAACAAGACCTGGGCTGCTCTATCTCCACTGACACCTGGTCCCAGATATGGGCAATTACCTCTCAAAGTTCAACAAATGTCCAAGCGATAGAGGCCAACTATAAATTGCTCTTTAGGTTGTATCTGGTTCCCCTCAGGATCTCCAAGGCTATCCTGTCCTATTCCCCAAATTGTTTTAGGGGTTGCCGGGTGTAGGGATCGGACCTTTACATTTGGTGGTCCTGCCCTAAGGTGAGGAGATTCTGGCACAGAGTCTATCAACTCCTATATACTGGCAAGACATTTCGCAAGGACCCTTTGGAAGCCCTACTACATAAAAAAACATTGGTGTGTACGGTTCGTCAACACCAATCGATTACCTTTATCCTTGACGGAAGCCAAACGGGTCATTGTGAAAGCTTGGAAGTCACCTGTTCTACCCTTTGCTGAAGTAAAATGCAGAGTTTCGTGAGTGATGTTTTTTGAGAAGCTTACCGCAATTCAACAGGATGCCATGGGGTCATTCAGGAAGCTGTGGTACCATGGATTGAATTGTACCTTCCTCCCTCTTTTAAGAACCAGACAACTCAAACTAGTTTTCTGCACTCTCGACACAATATCCATGCTAATGTGTTGATTATATCTACACTGAATACTTGATGTTTCTTTGGACTTCAATGGTCTATTGTTTTACTATAATTTTCTTTTACTGTGCATAATACATGTACTGTTTCCTAAGACCGACATTGAATATGTACACGTGCTTACTTGTTTATGCACCTAAAAATAATAAAAATAATTTTGAACGAAAATTATTTGTATGTAAAGTCTGCTTAATTATGTTAAACATGTCCAATAATTAAGTAACATGGTAAAAAAAATGCAAAAAGGACTTTAAATGTTCAACTGCTGTTAAATAACAGAAATAGCTAAATAAATGTGAAGAAAAAAAATGTAAGTTTATAAAAAAATAAAATATATATTTTTTTTATTTGAAAAATGTTAGAAAAAAAACATTATTTTCGGTTTCGACCTGACTTTTTTTAAATTTAAAGTTTCAACATTTTCGTTTCGGTGCACCTCTACTTACTAAGATTCTGAGTCACACTTTCCCCCCACCTTACCAAACTGTTCAACAAGCTCCAGATGGACGGTGACTTAGGAAGCAACTCCCATATGCCCATTATTTGTTTTATCCCGAAAGATGGGCAAGATACTTGCTAACAGAATTAACCTAACTCTAACCTTATCTCCAAAATTCAGGTGCGCTTTTTATCAGGTAAAAAGGCAGGAGATACTATATAACATAACATCACAATGTGCTGCAACAGAATTTCCGATTGTGCTTCTCTCCTTGCATATTTGTAAGGCCTTCAATTCCCCCGTTGGGACTATCTATATATGTCCTGCAGGGATAAGGGTTTAGAGGGATTTTTCCCCTCTGTTTGAGCTGTGGTCCCTTTAAGAGACAAAGCGGGGTTAACTCACCTGCTTGGGAATGTCTGTTTAAAAGACAGGAAGTGGTAGATAGCAGGTGAGGAGTAGTGAGGGGGAGTGGAGAGGAGGCTAGAGACTGAAATTGTGTATTGCTGTGAAAGTGCATGTCACTATCCTTTGTGCAATCCTGTGGTCAGGGAAAGTTACCCTGGAAGTCTGGGACTGTTTAACTGCAATTGCAGCTTTGAAACCTTCAAGTCAGTGAGACTGTTATTCTTTGTTATGCTGAAGAATCACTGTTAAGTTTTCCAGCTAGTCGATGAAGACAAATTGTTATGTTATTTTGCCCCAGTGAAGCTTTTTAAGTTAATAAACTTGACTTTATTTGAAAAGCCTGTGTCCTGTGATCCTGCTGGATTCCCCTAACATTACAATAGAGTTATGATATTTGGTACATATATACTCATATTTATTGTTTAAAACACATAATTTAGGTTTGCATATTATTTCAATTTTTTTTTATTGGTTTCCATCTTATACATTAACATTTCGTTATATTTCAATATCATATGTAACACATTGCCATATCGGGAAAAAAGAAAAACTATAATCTCACCACAGTATTCCCTCTCCCCCCTTTAAAGCTTAACCATACTATTATAAGCTCATTAACTGGGTATCATTCCAACCAATGGGCATCTACTTCCAAGCAGGGAGCCAATATGACAAGATTTCCTAACTTATCCATAAGGATACTGTTGTTATTTACTGATTTTACATATGATAGATACTCCTGGCGAGCTCAGTATTTCGCTCGCCCGGGTATTCAAAAAATGGAGACCTTAATTTATTAATAGGGAAGAGAAAAGAAAAGAGAAAAAGGGAGAAAAAAAACAAAACAACAATAATAATGGGGACTCCTACGGGCCAGGATTGCTTGGCATACTAATCAAGATTTAGCCTTGATTTACTGGATGTGTATGGATAGGGCTCAGAATTCTTAGATATATCAACCATGGGTCCCATACCAATTGAAAGTTATGATATCTGTCTTGTAATATACTATATAACTTCTCGTGTGTCATAATCCAGTTTAATTTATATAGTACCATTGGGAATGGGACCTTTTCGGTTTTCAAAGACCGTGCAATTGATAACTTGGCTGCTAGAAAGAAAAAGGATACTAGTTTGCCCTGCGCCTTAGTGAGCCCTTTGACTGGTTTATTCAATAGCAGGTACTGGGGGTCCCTCGGGATATAAACTCGAAGTATTCTAAAGAGCAGGGCAAAAAAGCGATTCCAGAAGGGACACAGTTTTGGACAGTTCCACCAAACATGCGTCATAGTTCCCTGTTGGTTGCATCCTCTAAAGCATAGGGGACTAGCCCCTGCGAACATGGTAGCTATCTTTACTGGAGTCAGATACCATCTAGCAAAAACTTTGTAGTTAGCTTCCAACAGGGTGATATTACGCAATCCCATATTTAATCTCATGGTATACTGCTTCCATTTGCCTATAGGGAGAACTTCCTCTAGTTCAGCTTCCCAAGCAGCCATATAGGATAGCTTAGTAAAAGGGCCAAGCTGAGCTGCATAGATTATAGAGATCCCTCCTCCTTGACCCGAGACTCCCAGACACCACTTTTCATAGTGGGTCAGCACTGGAATGCCCACTTCCGGTATCTTTAATGACTGTAGGAAATGCTGGATCTGCCTAAACCTAAACATTTCTGATGGTGGCATCTGAAGAATGCTTTGACAATATCTCAAGGATATTGGCTTGTGGTTCTTAATCAGGTATCCAATTCTATACAAGCCTTTGTCAACCCACCATTGAAATGTTTTGATTCGCAGTCCTGGTTGAAAATTCACATTATTAAACAGTGGAGCCAAAGGAGAATGGGTGGAGACTATACCTTCCATACCTCGCAGCCGATCCCACATGGCCATAGAATGTGACAAGGTGGGAGCTAATATCACCGGCCTTTGCTTCGGAGTCATGCATTTCAATACATCAATAGGAATGCCTCCGGCCGAACCAATTTCTATTTTAGCCCAATCTGGATCATCTACCCAGGAGTAAACGGAGGATAGCTGTGCCAACCGTGCTGCCCTATAATAAAGGAGCAGGTTGGGAACCACTAGACCGCCCTGGGATCTAGATTGAAACAAAATGGCTTGTGAAATTCTAGGATGTTTATTGCCCCAGATAAAGTTCATAATGGACGTCTGCAGTTTAAGAAGTTCAGCCCGATGAATCGGGATTGGTAGGGTTCTAAAGTAGTACAGGATTTTAGGAAGTAAAATCATTTTGACTGAATGGATACGACCCATCCAAGATAGATTATAAGAAGACCACCGCCTCATATCTTCTCTTAAATGTTTGTATAATGGAGGGTAATTCATTGAATATTTAGTATAAGGAGGAGTCATTTTTACTCCAAGGTACTGAAGAAAATCACATCACCATTCAAATGAAAAAGAGTTTTTAAGCCCCGACCACAGCTCAAGAGGAAGATTGATATTTAATGCCACAGACTTAGAAGCATTAACCCGGAGACCTGATATCTGTGCAAATTCTTCTATATGTGCCATAATATTGGGTAATGAGATAAGAGGAGAGGTAACAAAGAGCAGCATATCGTCTGTGAACAGAGCGCATTTATGATCTACTGCCTGACATTCAATTCCCCTTATATCTGGACTGTCTCGAAGTAGTATAGCCAGAGGTTCCAACGCTGTGGCGAAAGGGGACACCCCTGTCTTGTGCCTCTCCGGATTAAGATGGGGTCTGAGGAGTATCCCTGAAATCTAATCTGTGCTGAGGGTG